TGAATATATGTGTTTATAATTATTCAAAATTGATGACATTATGGTAATTTTTAAAAAACTATTCATCATCGCATAAAAAAATAATAAAAATTAATTATGATAAATGATTCTTAAGTATGAAAATTTATTCTTAATAAACTAATAAATCTTTTAAAAAAAATATGATCATTATTTTAGTTAAATGGGTTTAATGAATTAAATTAGTATATTATTAAAAAAAAAAGACTTTAATGACATGTCATGCCAACTAGGAGAGAGTGAGACTTTTGGAGTGTCAGGTATATTTGGAGGAAAATAGTGATAGTTGAGTGATATTTTGGTCCTAAATGAAACATAAATGATATTTCAAGGCAATTCCCTAAACTTGGGTGATCATTTAGGGAATTGACTCAATAATATTTGATATCTTTGAAGAACATATTTTCATTGCACATAAATTAGGGTAAAATTTTATTAGCATCAAGTGTTTTTATAAAATCAAAACATTGTATATAATTAACACATTTTCAAATTATAAAGCTAAGCTAAATGCTCCCAAGAACTCTACAATTTCAGTGTCACCACAAACATTGGTGTTCAAGAACAAAAATGAGAAGCAAAGTTATACTTTGACAATTCGCTATATAGGTGATGAGGGTCAAAGTAGAAACGTTGGTTCGATCACTTGGGTTGAAGAGAATGGCAACCACTCTGTTACAAGTCCGATAGTAACATCTCCCATTATTGAGGTCTGGTTATAATTTCTGCTACTTTATGGATTGTATTGCATAAGAATTGATTCATTAATTTTTAAGATTATAAATATGGTTCTCCTAACACTATAAGAATTGATTCCTATATATTGATTAAAATAAAGGTTCATGTGGATAAAATATAAATAGTACAACTCACATAACATATTGTACAATTAAGTACTGCAGTGTTAGTCCTTTTTGTTGTTGACTTATATATAAGGTAATATATATTAAGAAAACATTTTATTATGATCAAGTGATACATATTTTTAGTCTGATTCATTAATTTTTAAGATTAGTTATTCAGTAAGATATAAATACTCGATACAAATAAAAATTTTCGGAAGTGTTCTGCTCAAATCAGCCCCAAAAGGAAAAAAAAGAAGAAAATTCCTTACATTAGGGGTATATGCAGGTCTTTTGTCAAAAAGTAGCCAAAGAAGATGATGCACAAAAGACTAATTGGGGCTTTGAAATATTTATCTTCTACAACTAAAATTCAAATTTTATAGTGTGAATGATTTCCAGTATCTTTAAGTTTGTCATGCAGTTTTGTCAATATCCCCCAATCAAAAATGTTTAACAAGTATGCTTATATTTTCAAAAATATTAGGAGGGCAGTGACGGAATCAGAAATTTCATAAAGAGGGTTTAAAAATTAAACAACAAAAATTCTTTTCAAAAAAGGAAAAAAATTGTTGCAAGTGAGATTTGAATATGCAAGCATATTCATTAAAGATGTCTAAATACACATTCAAGACATCTGAAAACACTAGACTATAACAACTTATTATGTCAAGGGTGTCCAAACTATGTTATTTAATCACTTCGTATATTATTTTAGTTGTAAATGCGATATTTTTTCTGACGAAGAATGTCCAATTGGACACCCTCATATACATACGCCTACCCCCCTGTAGGAGAGGATAAAAAAATGAAAATATTAGATTGGAATGTATCTTGCGAATCCACCTTTTCCTCTAAGCATACAAACTTGTTTGGATGATTCTTACGTATTATTTCATAATATATATAGTATTATATTGTATTGTATTATTTTATTGTTATATAATACTCCACACATCAATATAAAAAGATAAAAAGGGGTATGATGAGCCCTTGGAAGCTGTATAATTTCATGTGTGAACTGTGAAGCATGGTGAGAGTGACACAGATCTCCTTTTTTCAAATAAGGTAACTTACTAGAAAAGTAAAGTATGAATAGTAGAGTTATTATAAAAATGTAGGGTAAATAATATAGTAGAATTGTTGAATAATGAACAAAGAAAAAAAAGAGAGGAATAAAAATAACGGCATAATCATACCAAATTGATCCTTACATAAAATGAGACTTTTCATCGTTACGTAATAATAAATTTGACAATACGATACAATAAAAAAATACTATCACATTATATTTAAACTAACAGACATAATGCAATATAATAGGTAACAACCACCCAAACAAGGTATTAGCCAAACAAACGTGTATTATATAATCGAAGGAATTATTAAATCTTAGCTTAAGAGTTGTTAGGATTTTGCAATGAGACCTGTTGATTCTTTCTCTTTTTATGTAGATAAGAATTAGTATAATTAGTTGTTTTATCATAAACTTTCTTTTAATAACTTACCACATGATCCACTCCATAATTTTATTATTGCATTACCAATACCCTTCTTGGATTATCTACTTATCTAGAAACAACCCCCAACTTGAGAATATTTTAACTTTGCATTTTTATTTTTCTCTTAATAATGACAAGTTTTAATAGCCATAAAATTGATATGGCATACTTAAAAACTGTAAATTTCTCCTTCTTGGATTATCTACTTCTCTATACTAGAAATAACCCCCAACTTGAGAATATTTTAACTTGCATTTTTATTTTCTTACTCTTAATAATGACAAGTTTTAATAGCCATAAAATTTATATGGCATACCTAAAAACTGTAAATTTCAAAATCCTTTCTTTTTTCCTTTTTTGAAAATGAGAAATCATATATATTAGTAGCTCTAAAGAATAATTTTTATAAGTTTCACTGATTAGAGTGATTTGTCTTTTGTTCCTAATAAGCTTAATTAATAATGTAACATTATAAATGACTTGTGTCTAATCAAACACTATATTAATTAATATAGTGTTTGATTTTCTAATTAAAATATAATCCTCTCTCTAATCCCCTACTTTTTACATCTTTTGGTTGGGTTGAAATATTGAATGATTTTTCCTTTTAAATTATCAACTCAGTGTACAATATTTTCATTTGAGATTCGATTAAACTTAAATTCAAGCATTGCATGTTTATTTTTTCACCCCCCCACCCCCTCCCCCCCAAAAAAAAAATTAAGTTTGTTTTTAAAAAATATTTTTTCAATTTCAAAAATTATTTTCTACTCTAGTAAAAATAAAAGATATTTCTCAAAAACTTTTTCATTCATAAATCAAACACTAAAAATCTTTTCCGAAAAATATTTTCTACTTACCAATCAAACATGAGAAAAAAGTCAAAAATCTACTTGTTTTCCAGGGAAATATTTTCCTTCATACCAAACACACCCTGAATCATCATTATTTAGATTTATTTTACTTTACTTGGTTTTATGTATAAAGGAAAAATACTAGTTTTATAGTGATTAGTCAGAATTACCCCTGAACTATGCGAAAAGACTACTTATACCCTTCGTTACATTTTGAGATAAAAAATACCTCCGCTGTTATTCCTAGAGACCACAAATACCTCTTGATCGTTAATAACCCAAATTGTTAATGACGTGGCAAGCCATGTGGACTGATCTCTCCACCTAATCAGCCAACTAGGATTTCCACCAACTCATTCTTGCTAAATATCAATTCATCTTTTCAAATTAGCAATATCTGGGATGCGAAATTTCCTTTACATTATGGAAACACTACCTCCAGTATTTTCTAACCCAATTTTTAATTCTCCAATATTTGTTTGATTATTGTACGAATTAAAGCAATCTAAATTTTGAGAGGTTCAAAACATATCTTTCAATTCTTCTAGGGGATGCTACTGAATCTTAAATATCAACTAAGGAAAAGCCACATTTGTCAAGCATAAGGGCTATCAGCTATGGCATCAACATATTTTTCTTGTTTAAAAGCAGAGATAACATGTTTTTTTAAAAGTCAGCCTTGAAAAGTTTGACTTTCTCCAAGTGACGAGTTGTTTTCTGTAAAAAATGCATTAAAATTTTCTCTCAAAAATAGGGTTTGATTTGGGAGGATGGGTTAACAAGAATGAGTGAGTGGAAATCAGGGACATCGTGTTGTGAAAGCAGGGATCTGCGAGGTAGGAAACGGAGGTTCTGCTCCAGTTACAGGTCAAGCGCTATTGTTGATTCACATTGTTTGGCTCGTGTTACTTGGTTTCCTCGGGCTGCTATGATTGATCAAGTTTCGTTGATTACTTGATTTAGGGTTAGACTTGATAGGATGATTTTTGTATAACATATATGTATCTTCTTCTGTATGTATGATGGGAATATAGGCTATATGATTTTAACTTTGTTCTTGTTTTTTGTTGGATTAATACAATTTTAGGAGATTCAGATTAAAAAAAAAAGTTAGTGGTAATCTTAGTTTGCAGCTTAGGTGGAAGGATCAGTCACACATGACTTGCCATGTCCTTAAAAATTTGGATTGTTAACTTTTGAGGGGTATTTGTGGTCTCTAGAGATAACAGTGAGAGTATTTTTGAGCTCAAAATGTAAAGGAGGGTATAAGTGGTCTATTTTGCATAGTTCGGGACAATTGTGACCCTTTTCCGTAATATTAATTATCATATTATTTTATGCTAGCTAGTGCAATTATAGTATTAGCTACTAGTTTTATGATTAGTTATTCACTATTGTTATTTTCTCCAATTTATATTAAAGTTTATTGTTATTTTCTGCAATTTATGTTAATTTTTCATGGAATGTTAATGCTACTTGTGTTAAGTTTATTGTTATTTCTCCCTATCTTTTTAGTATGGGTATGAAATTGCTTAATAATTCATTCTATTGAACAGGCAATAACTCATAAAAATTGGGCTCTCATCATAGTGACATGTCTTTGGATGATACAATTATGTAATACTATACATATTTATACATCGTAGAACTAACATCTAGTTGTATGCTAACAAATTACAATCTACATTCTACTAGATTGACATTTTTTGTAAGGTTAATTAAACTTCTAAAATCATCCACCTGAACAAAAAACTTATCATGTACGTACCCCAATCATTAGGTCTTGAGAGGTTTTCGCCTTTACTTTTACGTCCAAAATTAGTGGAACATCACCGAGGTCTCCGTTATCTCTTTGTTAAAATTGTTTTATCCATGAGGACTATCCCAACATCAATTAACCAAACCTACTACATCTTATACCTAAAATAAACAAATGTGACTACTCTACGACAATACAACCCATTGAATTATGTAATTCTACCTAAAAAGTGATTACAAAATAATTGTTGCTCGCATCAAAACCTTCTTAAGTATACTCATTAATTAGTCAAACATAATATAGCTTCCTTAAAAATCATCATGTCTCAAACAATGCAATTATAGTTCAAGGAATATTGGAGAACTTCAAAGGAAAAAAAAAGGTGCCTTGCATCAAATATTAATTAAACTTGATGTAGAAAAATCATGATGCCTCAGCCAACGAAATCATAGTATTAAAGCTTTCGATATTAAGTGGAGTATAATTTTAATTTTCCTGATTTGTTGATTCAGAAAACATACTTAATTTCAGACAATCTTGAATAATTAGGCCATGGAACTTGAACTGTGACCATATGATCTTCGTAACTAAAATCAACAGAGACTTCATCGATCGTACACGATGACGGCTTCTCAGAGGCAAACTGTCACGACCCGATTTCTCAAGTCATGATGGCACCCACTATAACCCACCAGTAGGTAAGCCAACCCGTAACCCGGAACAACAAGTAATGGGTCTGAGGGTAGAAACTAAACAAGAGTAGGCAAATAACAATATAAACAGGCAGAAGCAAACCAAAAACATATATACAAATAAAGATCCCTCCCAGAACCTGGAAGTCACTAGTACAGAGCTACTAACAAAATGAGTACAAGTCCCAAAAGTGGACAACAGAGACTGGACTGTCTCGAAAGGTAAAAGACAAGTCTATATATACAGATGGAGACTGAAATAGTACAAAACGTCGTGTGCTCACTCCCGTCTCCGGATCAGTCTGCTCCAAGCTCGATCAACGCTGGCTACTAGTGCCTGGACCTGCATCACGAAACAGATGCAGAGCGTAGCATGAGTACCAAAACAACAGGTACCCAGTAGGCATCATAGGCCGACTGAACTAGAAAAGTAAAGGCAGTATGAAAAGAAGGAATAACACAAACCGAAGTCAAGAACTAAAATCTAACTAACAAGGGAATGCACACGAGTGTACAAAGAACTAACTAAAGTAATCTATAAGCTAACTACACCTAACTGGGCCCCCATAAGCCCAGAAGGTACACTCGTGCGCAAGTTAAATAAAAACCCGAACGGACCCCCATAAGCCCGACGAGCACACATAATAACTATAACTAAAGAGAATTGCATAAAAGAACCCAAGAACGAAGAACATCAAACCAGAACCTCAACCCTAATTAGTAGAATCTGACAGTACGGAGGCCGAACCTCGAACCGGATGCTCCCCAGAAGTACCCAAGTAACCAATCACAAGTAACAAGTATAAGAGGTCAGAACTCTAACCGGATGCTCTATATAAGTATCTGAGCAATAGAGGCCAGAACTCTAAACCGATGCTCTATATAAGTAACTGGGCAATAGAGGCCGGAACTCTAACCGGATGCTCTATAAAGGTGCCAACGTAGCTGTTGAAAGAGTCCCAATCGATCCATACACATAAATGTCCGTGAAACGCCGTCCACACATAGCCAATCAACATGCAACTAAAACCCAAATTTTCTCAAAAATTAGAAATGGAAC